TATACATATATGCATAACCCATGAACACAGATAATAGGATGGTGAAAGCCTAGGATGGGGAGACGGGGGGAGACAGGGGCTGGCTGGTCAATGGGAGGAAAAGGGGGACATATGTAATATTTTCAACAATAGATATTTTTTAAATAATAATAATAAAGGAGCCATTGTAAAATTGTTTCAATGAGCAACTAAGAACATGCTTGAAACAAATGAAAAATATAGAAAGTCTCAGTAAAGAAATATAAACTATAAAGAAAACCCAAATGGAAATTTTACAACTTAAAATATATAATAACCAAAATATAAGCTCAATGGGTAGGTCAACAGTGAAATGGAGGGGACAAAGCAAATACTAGTAATCAGTGAACAGGAAAACAAAAGATTAGAAATTAATCTTAACAACACAGAGAAATAGAGACTGGGGGTTGGGGGGAGGAAGAACAGAGTCTCAGGGACCTGTGGGACTAAAATAAAATATCTAACATTCATATCATTAGAGTCTCAGGAGAGGAGAAAAAGGGCAGGGCTGAAAAAGTACTAAAAAAAAAAAAGAAAATACAGCTGAAAACTTCCAGCCCAGCCAGAGTGGTTCAATGGTTGAGCATCGACCTAGGAACCAGGAGGTCACGGTTAGATTTCCGGTCAGGGCATATGCCTGGGTTGTGGGCTTGATCCCCATTATGGGGCATAGAGGAGGCAGCTGATCAATGACTCTCTCTCATCATTGATGTTTCTATCTTTCTCTCCCTCTCTGTTCCTCTCTGAAATCAATAAAAATATATATTTTTTTAAAATAAACTTTCCAAATTTGGCAAAAGACATAAGCCTAAAGATTCAAGGAGCTAAGAAAACTCCAAACAAGACAAAACCAAAAGAACTCCATGCCAAGACACATCATAGTCATATTTCTGAAAAGTAATCAGGTTAGGTCTCGGTTTAATTTCTAACTATCCTTCAGCACTCTGTTTAAGTAGGCTCTCCTAATATGCTATCCCACTGCACACTGGTACTCTTCCTTCATAAGACTCACTACATTTATAATTACTTGCTCAATTACAAGTAGTCTTCCCACTGAGCCACGCTGGCCAGGCTAGTAGTAATTGAAGACTAATGAGAATTTGACTGGTTTATGAAAGGATATAATTTGTAATTTCCTTAAAATTTTTTTAAATCAAAATAATAGTTTGAGATAGTTTTTAAAGTTAACCATTACTACAAAACTTTAAGGAAAAACAGTAGTTTCTAGTTCCACTTCTTATGTTCAAAACCCAGTCCCCAGAGGCAACCACTTTCTTTCAACTTTCTTAGTTATTTCTTCTGATGGTTTTATTAAACCATAAATTCCATGAGGGCAGGGATTTGGTCATTGTTACATCCATAGCACTTAATGAAGTGTCTACCAAACAAAAGTTGCTTAATTAATATTTGTTGAACAATGAATGAATAAATAATTCTTCTTCTAGAAAATGTCTCCTCTTAACTACCAAACTATTTTGTCCTTTTCTCACCTCTTGATCGGTTGTGATTGCTTCCAGGTTGGCCTGCCCTTACCTTATTAGTTTGTAGAATTCTTGCATGAAATGCAGCTGGCCACGCATGAAGCAACAGGTAAGCATAGGAGCGAATGGCATAAACTGGGGAATATTCCCAAGTCTGAAATCCCTTCCCGTAGATGAGGTAGTGTGTCTGAAAGTACAAAACAGATGAATTCAGGGTTATAGTGGCCAAAAATCCTTGTTTAAAGAATGAAGATGAAGATTTTAAGCAAAAGTATTAATGAAATAACGGTATACAAAAATGTTGAACTCTCAACAAGATTTGCAACTAATGGATAAGAATCAAAATGACACAATATTAAGAAATATTAGGACATTATAAATTCTACAAGATTATTGTTTGGTCAACTTTAAGAGCTTGAATTGTACCTTCTACTTATTTAAAAAACAAAACAAAACTCTAAATCTGCCTGGCCAGGGTGGCTCAAGTGGTTGAGCATCAACCTATGAACCAGGAGGTCACAGGTTCGATACCTGGTCAGGGCACATGCCCTGGTTGGGGGCTGGGTCCCCCTTTGGAGGCCAATGATTCTCATCACTGATGTTTCTATCTCTCTCTCCCTCTCAGTTTCTCTCTGAAATCAATAAAAATATTAAAAACAAAACAAAAGAAAACACTTAAGAAAACTCAAAATCTTATATTTTCCTTAAACCACCTACACTAAACATTCTTTTTTTATGAAAAATATGATGTGAAAATTTCACCTCTGAATTTTCTGTAATACAAAGTCAATCAACTTATAAATCTAAAAATCAAGAAATAGCAGTATAAGTATACTATTTAGTAATGATATTTATTTTAGTAACCATCAGAAGAAATAACTAAGAAAGTTGAAAGCGGTTGCCTCTGGGGACTGGGATTTGAACATAAGAAATGGAACTGGAAACTACTGTTTTTCCTTAAAGTTTTGTAGTAATGGTTAACTTTAAAAACTTTCTCAAAGTGTTATTTTGATTTTTAAAAATTTTTAAGGAAATTACAAATTATATCCTTTCATAAAACAGCCAGATTCCCTACAGCCTTCAACTGGCTGGCGTGGTTCAGTGGTTGAGGTCAAGGGTTTATTCCTGGTCAGGGCACATGCCCAGGTTGCGGGCTCCATCCCCAATAGGGGGCATGCAGGAGGCAGCTGATCAATGATTCTCTCTCATCATTGATGTTTCTCTCTCTCTCTCCCTCTCCCTTCCTCTCTGAAATCAACAAAAATGTATTTTTAAAAAATAGTCATGACTACTAAATCATCAACTTAGAATACAAAAGTGCAAATAAAGTTATTTTATTACTAGTAACACGTGTATATAATATTTGTATCTTGATTGGTAACAAGGTCCCAGGCAATGAAATCAAGAACATCAACAAAAATACCCAAAGAAGTCACCTACTGGTTCCCAGTAGTTGAACGTTTCATCACAGTCAGAGATGTTGCTCAGAAGAGCAGCACATAACCTTGCTGAGAGCAAGCACTTGAAAGCAGTAGATCCTTCCGGTGCCCAAACTTGGCCTGCTTTGTTCCCAGATAACCTGCTCAGAAGCAAAAAAAAAAAAAGAAGAAGAAAGAAAAGAAAAAAGAAAAAGAAAAGGTATGTGTCAGGAAGTGCCTGCTAACTAGAAGGCCTAAAATTTGACAAAAAAGACAGGACTGGCAAGGGACATTAAAGCCCTGAAGTATTCTCCAATAGCGGTGAGCAGTTAGCTGTTCGGAGCAGATGAACCTTCATCATTCCTTCCACTTCCTGCTTTGCAGGTGTAAGCGAATGCATACCCTGTAGTTCTCGGCATCTATGACGCTCCATTTACTCCCAGCCAACTATCCACTCACTTGAAGACCACAAAGCTCTCACCCCGTTTCTTTCTTTTCGTAACAAGGCCATTGCTCTCCGTGGCTTTATTTATTCATCAGCTCATTTATTCCAACGTACAGAGGCCTAACATGTGCAAGGCGCTGTGCCCTCTTCCAGCTCCGTCTGCTGACAGCTCCTTCGGTGCAGCCCTAACCTGCGGTTCCCGGCCTGGGAGAGAGGCGGGAGCCGTGCTGGAGGCTGTGGGGCCTTCGCATGAACCGGCCGGGGCTTTGGGGAGAATGAAGGAAACGGCGAGACCCCAAAAAGGTGTACTCTCGGCTCTCGCCATTCACACACAGGACGCCAGCCCCCACCGGGCCGGGCCGGGAGCCGCACCCCAGGTTTCCTTACAGCAAACTCGGACCCGAGGTGGAGGTCTAGGACGGGGTGGAGACGGAACGCTGACCCGCCCGAGAAGAGCAAAAGGACCCGGGTGCAGAGGCAGCCGAGCCCCCGGGGCCAGCGGGCCAGACTCTCGGCTCTCGCCATTCACACACAGGACGCCAGCCCCCACCGGGCCGGGCCGGGAGCCGCACCCCAGGTTTCCTTACAGCAAACTCGGACCCGAGGTGGAGGTCTAGGACGGGGTGGAGACGGAACGCTGACCCGCCCGAGAAGAGCAAAAGGACCCGGGTGCAGAGGCAGCCGAGCCCCCGGGGCCAGCGGGCCAGCAGCG